GGTTCGAACCGCAGATGTACTCCCGTCGTCAAAACGGAGGTGGAAGGGGGCATTTTGTGCTCAGGGGAAGAGCGAGTTGGTGGTTTTAGAGTGCACACAGGACAGTGAACGCTACATCTATACGTTGTCCGAGCATCTGCTGCCCTACATCGATCGAATCTATGGCCGAGTTTGCGTTTTCCAACACGACAACGCCTCCATTCACTCTTCTGGGGCTACCAAAACCTTCCTCGAGGAGGAAAATGTGATGACAATGACGTGGCCAGCGAAGTCCCCAGACCATTGAGAATCTGTGGGGAGTTCTAGCGCGCGCTGTTTACGCCGATGGACGCCAGTTTCAGATTCGAGATTCTCTCATTGCTACGATCAAGAAATGCTAGGGGGATATCTCGCTGAGCTACACGACGAAGCTTCTCAACTCTATGTCCAAGAGGTGCGTGTCCGTCCTAGAGCTCCACGGAGCTAAGACCAAGTATTGAGTACGTTTCAGCGCCATTAGTGACGAGCTCTAACAAATAAAAACCAAGTGGCAGTATAGCCACCGCCATAGATGTTGAAGTTGAAGTTATTGTTTTTGGTTTAACTTGGCATTAACCTATTCAAATTGACTACTTCCACCACCATTGGATTCGTATTGACACGGTCTTTCAATTAGCTAAAACAGGTTTGTCTAGAGCAGCTTATTGGATGAAATACAGAGAAAAAGGGGGGGGGGCAGTATATCCACCGCCAGCACTGTACTAGATCGCTTGCGCTTATACCGATAGGACTCACGAAAAACTGAAGTTTTAATATATAAAGCTTTATAGGAAACCCTCAGCGAATTCGATAAACGCTAAACACCAGAAAACATATTTTGAGACTGTTCAGCAAGCATGGCAGCTGTTGCGGGCCTGGATTATAATCATGGTAATATCCGTATTGAATACAGGATTAATCCTGGACACTAAAATACTATGTTAACTCAGTACCCATCCGGGAAAGATACGGAAAGATACGGGAAGATACTGGGAAGGTTTGTCGAGGACGCGTAACGGGGGGAAACTAAGGAGGGCCCTCCCAGCTGGGAGGGCCCTCACAAAAAATATTTGTTGCAAAAAATAGAACGAGCCGTCGGCAACGGCAAATCTAATTTTTGGCGTTGCCGACGTAAAAGGCCACATCGTTACAATACAAATTTCACAGACAACGTACAGTTCTTATAAATAAATGTCGTAACTACTAGACAAGAAACCACCAGAGCGTGTGATCTTGCATTCCACAATCAGAGCTGTGTTAATTTCCCAAACACTTGGAAGAACACTCTACGCTATCGCAATGTCGGATCAATGTCGGATCAAGTTTTTCACATTGACCCTCCTCCGAAAAAAAAACTATCCGAACCATGATGCCGCTGAACCCGCGCTTCATGCGTGGACAAGATCAAATGGCTTCAACGTATCGCGAAGGCGTATACGAAAAAATGACAACGGCGAGATTTGCATCCGAAATTACGAATGCGATCGTGCGGGCAAACCGAAGTGTACTCAAAAACTCGCTGCCGAAGACAGGGTTCGAATTAAACGCGGGTCGCGGTGTGGCTGTCCAATGCGGATTTCGTTGAGGGCGATCGACAAGAATACACCTGCAGGGGAATGGGCCATCGTTCACACTGGTAATAGCAGCGCCGTTCACAACCACAAGCCATCCATGGACGCTCGTGTCCACGCAGCTCACAGATCCAGAGCTGCTCAGGGTATCATTGCTACTTCTGAGCGCTCAGTTCACAGTACAATTGAGGCTCAATCTGCAGCTGGTGTACCTGTAGCCAACATTTACGCAACAATGTTGAATCATGACCCCAACACTATGCTACTTCCTAAGGATATCGCTAACGCCAAGGACTCAGCTCGTCGTCGAGTTCTCGCTTCCGCTACTCCTATTGAGGCCCTCTTCAACCAGCTCAACCAAGAGAAGTTATTTTATCGATACACAACATACCTCGAACTCAATGTCTTAAATATCTACTGTGGGCTCCCTGCTACCGCAAGTCTTTACAAGTTTAACTCTGACATTTTAGTGATGAACTGCACGTACAAGACTAATAAGTTCGACCTCCCGCTTCTAAATGTCATCTCGCTTACTGGAATGGACACTGTAATCCCTGTCTGTCAAGCCTGGCTTCCAGGGGAGAAGAAACAAGACTACACTTGGGCCCTGAACATGTTACGTCTATTGATGTTAGAGTATGATGTCCCAGAGCCGTTTAATCTTGATGGGGCTCTTGAGCTTTTCCACCAGGCCGAGAATGCATGAAGGAAAATACTGTAGGTGTATACTTCTCGTCTCTAATACACGCGTCCTCGTTAATAGCTTTTTGGACAAGTTTTAGTGCCGAACTCAGTCGAATAACGCGCGACTGGCTTCGAAATGGTCCATCATTAGCTCCTCCGACCTCTCGAAAAACTGGTGTGTATGTGCGTGATCGTGCTTCGCTAAGCAATGCGTCGAAAGTAGGCATATCCAGTTGCAAAGACACTATAGCAAAGCCGGAAGGCGGAAACGAGGGCCGCATGGTGGAGGTAGCCGTAGTTGAAAACTATATTTCCTATAGCCACATCTCGTCGGCAACGCCAAAAATTAGATTTGCCGTTGCCGACGGCTCGTTCTATTTTTTGCAACAAATAACTTTTTTTGTGAGAGCCCTCCCAGCTGGAGGGCCCTCCTTAGTTTCCCCCC